ATAATAATAATAATAATAATAATAATAATAATAATAATTATTATTATTATTTATTTCTTCCCCAGCCACTCTGGGCAGCTTTCAACAGAACACTAAAAACAGAATAAAACTTCAAACATTAAAAATTTCCCTAAACTTCAGATGTCTTCTAAAAGTCAAATATTTGTTTATTTCATGGACATCTGATGGGAGGGCGTTCCACAGGGTGGGTGCCACTACCAAGAAGGCCCTCTGCCTAGCATAGAATTAATTATTAGAATTATTAGAATTAATAATTTGTTTTGAATCCCAAAACTGAACTCACAGTCCTTTCCACAATTTTTTTTTCAAGATCTGTTTTGGGCTACCCCACCTGCCTTGCTATTTTAATTTCATCCAGAGACAGGGTCCTTTTGTTGTTGCTGTTGATAAGCAGCCGGGAGTCAGAAATCCCTGACCATCTCTGAGAAAATACACAGCAATATCCCTGCTGCCAACCGATGTTTTAGATAACAACTTAGATCAGGAATGGTGTTGCTGACTCCATCTCCCATCATCCCTGACCACTGGCCATGCTGGCTGCAACTGATGGGAGTCCAGCAACTTCTAGCCTTCACGAAATTTAACTCAGTTAAAAGTTCTTTAGATAGCCACCCTGGCTATCTAAAGAACTTTTAACTGAGTTAAGATTAAAAAAGGATGTGTACAAAAAATGGAAAAGGGGGGAAACCACCAAAGAGGAATTCAAACAAATAGCCAGCACGTGTAGACACAAAGTCAGAAAAGCTAAAGCACAGAATGAACTCAGGCTTGCTAGAGAGGTTAAAAGCAACAAAAAGGCTTTTATGGGTATGTTCGTAGCAAAAGGAAGAACAAAGAAACAGTGGGGTCACTCAGAGGAGAAGATGATGAAATGCAAACAGGGGACACAGAAAGGGCTGAACTCCTCAATGCCTTCTTTGCCTCAGTCTTCTCCGATAAAGAAAACAATGCCCGACCTGAAGAATTTGGAGCAAATGATTCAGCAGAGGAAACACAGCCCAGAATAACTAAGGAGATAGTACAAGAATACTTGGCTAGTTTAGACGTATTCAAGTCTCCAGGGCCAGATGAACTGCATCCAAGAGTATTAAAAGAACTGGCAGATGTGATCTCAGAACCACTGGCAGTCATCTTTGAGAATTCCTGGAGAACAGGCGAAGTCCCGGCAGACTGGAGGACGGCAAATGTTGTCCCTATTTTCAAAAAGGGGAAAAGAGAGGACCCAAATAATTACCGCCCAGTCAGTCTGACATCAATACCAGGGAAGATTCTGGAGCAGATCATTAAGCAAACAGTCTGTGAGCACCTAGAAAGGAATGCTGTGATCACCAATAGTCAGCATGGATTTCTGAAAAATAAGTCATGTCAGACTAACCTGATCTCATTTTTTGACAGAATTACAAGCCTGGTAGATGAAGGGAATGCAGTGGATGTAGCCTACCTTGATTTCAGCAAGGCATTTGACAAGGTGCCCCATGATATTCCTGTAAAGAAGCTGGTAAAATGCGGTCTTGACTGTGCTACCACTCAGTGGATTTGTAACTGGCTGACTGACCGAACCCAAAGGGTGCTCATCAATGGTTCCTCTTCATCCTGGAGAAGAGTGACTAGTGGGGTGCCACAGGGTTCTGTCTTGGGCCCGGTCTTATTCAACATCTTTATCAACGACTTGGATGATGGACTCAAGGGCATCCTGATCAAATCTGCAGATGACACCAAACTGGGAGGGGTGGCTAACACCCCAGAGGACAGGCTCACACTTCAAAACGACCTTGACAGATTAGAGAACTGGGCCAAAACAAACAAGATGAATTTTAACAGGGAGAAATGTAAAGTATTGCACTTGGGCAAAAAAAATGAGAGGCACAAATACAAGATGGGTGACACCTAGCTTGAGAGCAGTACATGTGAAAAGGATCTAGGAGTCTTGGTTGACCACAAACTTGACATGAGCCAACAGTGTGACGCGGCAGCTAAAAAAGCCAATGCAATTCTGGGCCTCATCAATAGGAGTATAGCATCTAGATCAAGGGAAGTAATAGTGCCACTGTATTCTGCTCTGGTCAGACCTCACCTGGAGTACTGTGTCCAGTTCTGGGCACCACAGTTCAAGAAGGACACTGACAAACTGGAACGTGTCCAGAGGAGGGCAACCAAAATGGTCAAAGGCCTGGAAACGATGCCTTATGAGGAATGGCTAAGGGAGCTGGGCATGTTTAGCCTGGAGAAGAGGAGGTTAAGGGGTGGTATGATAGCCATGTTCAAATATATAAAAGGATGTCACATAGAGGAGGGAGAAAGGTTGTTTTCTGCTGCTCCAGAGAAGCGGACTCGGCGCAATGGATCCAAACTACAAGAAAGAAGATTCCACCTAAACATTAGGAAGAACTTCCTGACAGTAAGAGCTGTTCGACAGTGGAATTTGCTGCCAAGGAGTGTGGTGGAGTCTCCTTCTTTGGAGGTCTTTAAGCAGAGGCTTGACAACCATATGTCAGGAGTGCTCTGATGGTGTTTCCTGCTTGGCAGGGGGTTGGACTTGATGGCCCTTGTGGTCTCTTCCAACTCTATGATTCTATGATTCTATGATTCTATGAAATAACACTGGAGCGTGAACGACAACTGCAGTGCTGCAATTCCAGTGAAATTTCCAGGACAGCCTGAATGCACAAGAACATAAGAACAGTTCTCCTTCATCAGGCTACTACCAATGCTATTCTAGGCTGCATCAACAGAAGTATAGTGTCCAGATCAAGGGAAGAAATAGTACTACTCTATTCTGCCTTGGTCAGACCACACCTGCAACACAGTTTAAGAAGGATGTTGACATGGTGTGCAGAGGAGGGCAACCAAGATGATCAAGGTTCTGGAAACCAAACCTTAGGAGGTATGGTTCAGGGAATTTTTAGCCTGGAGAAGAGGAGATGGATACGAGATAGCCATCTTCAAATTTCTTAAGGGCTGTCACATGGAAGATGGAGCAAGCTTGTTTTCTCCTGCTCTGGGGGGCAGGACTCAAACCAATGGCTTCAAGTTGCAAGAAAAGAGATTCCAACTCAACATCAGGAAGTACTTTCTAACAGTAAGAGCTGTCTGCCAGTGGTCTCCTTCAGGAGGTTGTGGACTCTCTTTCGTTGGAGCTTTTTAAGCAGAAGATGGGTAGCCATCTGTTCTGGATGCTTTAGCAGAGATTCCTGCATTGCAGGGTACTGGTCCAGATTCTATGATTCCAGGCCAGTGGCCCACTTAGTCCAGAAATCCTGCTCGTAGATGCCTATGAGAATCCCACAAGCTGGATTTAAAGGCAGCAACACCCTGTAGTTTCCGGCAACTTCTGGAACTTCTGGTATCAAAGGATATTTCACGAATCCTTTGCTCACTGCACCGCTCGGGTGCTGTTGCAAGAAGAAAAGCAGGAAACCTCCACAGCAGAGCTTTCCAAACTTTTCCTGTTGGTGACACGCTTTTTAGACATTTCAAAACACAGTAATTCAACCGGAGGTTAAACTAACCCCTTTCCAGCCCCGGGAAGAGCGAGGGGAGCATTTGCACGACACACCTACACACTGCAGCCGACACATTGATGTGTCTCAATGCACAGTTTGGAAAGCTCTGCCCTACAGCCATGTAAAGTCCATGAGATGCGCAGCTGAAATGCCTGGGAGAGTCACTTCTCAGGTGCTGCTGGAAAAGACAGGGGGAGAGGATGGCTGGAGTACGATGTCACATTCCCATCAGCCCCAGCCAACATGGCCAATGGTCAGAGACAATGGGAGCACCTGAGAGAGTCAGGCAACATCTGGTGGGCACCAGGTTGGAGAAGCCTGGAGGAAGGTTTCCCTCCCTGGGCTGGGCTCCTACATGAATTGTAAAAAAAAAAAAAGCTCTGTTAAGGCTCTGGGAAAAGGTAAAGGGACCCCTGACCATTAGGTCCAGTCGTGGCCGACTCTGGGGTTGCGGCGCTCATCCCGCTTTATTGGCCGAGGGAGCCGGCGTACAGCTTCCGGGTCATGTGCCCAGCATGACTAAGCCGCTTCTGGCAAACCAGAGCAGTGCACGGAAACGCCATTTTCCTTCCCACCGGAGTGGTTCCTATTTATCTACTTGCACTTTGACGTGCTTTCGAACTGCTAGGTTGGCAGGAGCAGGGACCGAGCAACAGGAGCTCACCCCATCATGGGGATTCAAACCGCTGACCTTCTGATTGGCAAGTCCTAATCTCTGTGGTTTAACCCACAGCGCCACCCGTGTCCCCGTGACGCTAGGAGGTGAGGTCAAATGACCAGAAACACTCCATGTCTTCCACCCATTAGATGACCCTCGTGGTCCCTTCCAACTCTACAATTCTATAATCTATGATCCATCGAATCTGACAGCTTTTGCTAGTAAAGAGTGAGCCAGACTTTGCCCCAAATTGGTAAGAAACACACACAAACAATCCCACCCAGAACGTCACCCACTACCGAGATGCCTGTGTCTAAAATGGTGCCTCAAACCCGGCCCCCCACACACACTTTGTTGCATTGCTGGATTGGGCCTGCCCTCTACAGAATCAAAGAATTGTAGAGTTGGAAGAACATCTAGCCCAACCTCCTGCAATGTTCCGCAGGCTTCCCGAAACAACTCTTGAAATGGAAAGTCGGTCCCACACAGTTCAATGGGGCTTAATCCAAAGCGAGTGTGTCTTATAAGGGATGGGGAACTTATGGGATGCTCCTGGACTGCATGGCTCTGCCAAGGGGAGCCAGAGTTCAGTGGAATGACTCTGTTGTAGAGCACGAGACTCTGAATCTCAGGGTTGTGGGTTCGAATCCCTATGTTGGGCAGCAAAAATCCTGCATTACAGGGGGTTGGAGTAGAAGACCCTTGTGGTTGAGTGAGACTCTGAACCTCAGGGTCGTGGGTTCAAGTCCCATGTGGGGTGGGAAAATTCCTGCATTGCTGGGGGTTGGACTGGATAACCCTTGTGGTCCCTATATGACATGGGGGGGGGGCGAGAGAGCGCGCTGAAAGGTTTAATCCCCGCGCACCGCGTCTGCAGCTGCGCCTGGCTGAGGCCCGCGGGCTTACTCGTGAGCAAGCCAACGTTAAGAAGCGCCGGGAGGGTGGAAGACGACCCCCCCCCCGTCTGCCCGATCTGTTTCAGGGCAGGCCTAGAAGAGGAGCGCCAAGAGCGCGCGTCCGGAACACGGCGTCACCTCGAGTCCCGCCAAGGCGCCTCCACCCCCGGCCAGGCGGCTGAGCGCTTCCCCCGGGGCGCCGGGGCTGCCGGAGCTGCGGCCACGTCAGCCTTGCGCCCCGCCCGCCTTCCCGCCGCCTCCGGTTGCGAGCCGGATCCTCCGCGCCTCTCTCGCTTCCCTCTTCCTCCGGCGCAGGCCTGCCTGCCTGCTGCCTGCCTTGCTTGCCTGCTGCACGGCTCCTGCTCGGCGCCGGCCAGCGGAGGGAACGACCCCCAGCTCCGCCACCCGGTAAGGCTCCGGAGGGGCCCCCAGCGCAGAGGAAGCGGACGGAGGAGCAAGGACGGGGAAGGAAGCGCTTTTCTCGACGCCTCCTTCCTTCCGTCCTTCTCTCCCAAGCAACATCCCATTGGTGTTGCAAGAGCTTGCTGCGCCGCCCCAAAACTTCAGGGATTGCATTCCTTATGTAGGCACCTTTTCCTTTGTCACCCGGGGCATCCTCTGGGTTCTCATGGCCGCACATATTTGGCTACCCACCCACCCCCAATCTGTAGTCCCGTTCTCTTTCTTTCTCCCTCCCTCCCTCTTTTCTTTTCTTTCTTTCTTTCCCTCGCTCAGTGGACTCCCTTTCCTCTGCCTCTTCTCCCCGGACCCCAGTGTGTTTCCTTGCTTTAAAATAGTTACCTGGTAAGCAGAGGGCACTTAGAAATGGAGGAGGAAGGGATACAATGGAAGACATCACCAACCATAGAATTCTAGAGTTGGAAGGGATTTTGAGGGTCCTGTAGTCCAACCCCCTGCAATGCTAAAGCATCCACGGCAGATGGCCATCCGACCTCTGCTTGAAAACCTCCAAGGAAGGAGAGACCGTTGCACTGGCAAACTGTCATGAATATGATGTTTTTTCTTGTTATTAATATTACTATTATTATTATTATTTGTACGACATCCATCAGACTGGGTTGCTCCAGCCACTCTGGGCGGCTTCCCACATATAATAAAACATTAAACATTTTTTAAAACTTCACATGTCTTCTAAAGGTTGTATATCAAGCTTGCAGCCTTCTTCACTTTGAAACCTCACAGCAGCTCCTGACATAGTTTTTCAGAGGGTGTTGCGTCCGGCCAAGTTCATCCGATAGCTGCAGCTTTCATTTCAGATCGTGCAGAACCTTCTCTGCCGTTCCTCCAAGGAGCTGGAGAAGGCCTGGGTTAGACTGGCTCAGTTGGTGGAGCGCAAGACTCTTATTAAAATCTCAGGGTTGTGGGTTTGAGTCAAAAGATCCCTGCATTGCAGGCAGTCAGAGCCAGTGTGGTGTAGTGGTTAAGAGCAGTAGACTCGTAATCTGGTGAACTGGGTTCGCGCCTCCGCTCCTCCACATGCAGCTGCTGGGTGACCCTGAGCTAGTCACACTTCTCTGAAGTCTCTCAGCCTCACTCACCTCACAGAGTGTGGGGGAGGAAGGGAAAGGAGAGTGTTGGCCGCTTTGAGACTCCTTCGGGTAGTGATAAAACGGGATATCAAATCCAAACTCTTCTTCTGCTTCTGCTTCTTGTGGTCCTGTTCAGTTCTACAATTCTATAATTCTGTACGGTGGCGTGCATGGCATATGTTATGAGGATAACAACCCTCTGAAGCTGAGAGATGTGGGGGACTGGTCCAGGGTCACCAAGTCGGTGAGCTTTGGGACTCGAGTGGGGATTTGAACCCAGGTCCTAGGGCAACACTCTGCCCGCTGCACCACACTGGCTGTTGTGCATAGAACCCCTTTGCACAGCCGTTGAATGGGCAGCCAGCAGCAGGCTGGGCATTGAGTGTGACCCTCTCATGCGTTCTTTCAGCTCACCCAGTGATGATCCTTCCCTCCTTAGATCAAATGCAGTTGGGGCTGTAGGATTACCTCCTCTGTCCCCAAAGGCACACCCTTTGATCTTATTTTCAGTTATTTTGCTTCACTTGTACCTCACCTGCCTTCCCATAATAGAATTCAAGGTGGCGCTCACAAAGTGCTCAGGTGGCCTCCCACACCATAAACTGGGAGTGGATGGTTTTACGATGGTTCTGTTATTGCTCCTGTATTCTTCCTGTCATTTTTATTATTATTATTTCATTTTGCTCTCTCAGATTCTTTCAGTACCTGCTTCTTTCCAGTCCTCCTTTCTTCCCTCACCAGGATTTTCTTTCCCCCCCTCCAAATGACCCAAGCCTAAATGGTCATTTCCTTGCAATCACCTCCTCCCCTGGGCTTAAAATGGTAGGATTACTGTCTTTACTATTGGCCGTGCTTTTTAATAGCAGAAATCAACAAGTGGCGGTGGCGGTGGTTGTGGTTGTTTTCGGATTCCACCCTTGGAAAAGCTTCACTTTTTATGTTGTCCTGTCTGAAGCATAAATCTGGCCAGCACAGATGCTCCCAAGGGGATTGTATTGGGGAAGAACATGAGAAAAGCCTGTTGGATCAGGCCAATGGCCTGTCTAAGTAGAGCATCCTATTCTTAAGAAACCAACCAGGTGCCTGTGGGAAGCTGCAAGCAGGATTCGAACACAGGACAACTCTCCCCCACTGTAGTTTCCATCAACTGGTATTGAGAGTATTACTGCCTCTGACCAAGCAAAGCATAAACATCATAGCTTGTAGCCACTGATAGCTTTGCCCTCCATGGATTTCCGATCCTCTTATAAAGCCATCCAAGTTGCTCATTGTTGACAGATACCTACATCTGGAGCAAGAAAGTAACAATTGCCAAAGGCAAATGTTGCGTATTTTGTAGGTTTTAGGGTATCTACAAAATGTTGTGTATTTTGTAGAACAACACGTTAAGGCAGCCTTTTAAATGGCTCCACAATGTTACCACCGTAGTTCATTCGCCTGCATGCAATATCCTTGCCATCTGCTTATGCATTTTTAATTCCTATATTTATAAACTGCCAACTCTTTAACAAAGTACCAAGGCAGTGCACAGTAAAATCACCTAAACGTAATAAAGCTATAAAACTGTATAATATAGAAGTAATGCCCAACACTGAATCAAATTAATGCTTGACCAAACTACCAGGCTAGTACTTAAATACAAAATGAATTTAATGTGCTTTAAAAACTCTTAATGTAAAATGTCGACAGTCTTCTACCCCATTTCCTTCCCTCCCAGAAACAATTTATTGCTCTGGAAGTGGCCTTGTAACGGGAGTAGGATATTTGTTACGTAGTTAAAGATTAAGATCACGCTGATTTCAAGATATAAATATGTGGAACCAAAGGTGAAGATCATAAGACTACATTTGTGGAAATCCAAGAAACATTTAGTGTCCCTCAGTGATTACCAGTGAGTAGGAATATCACCAGTTGCCACCACATGCCCATATGCCTTTAATAGCAGTATACGAAACGAGTCCTTTGTAAACGAAAGGCTCTTTACTGCCTAGGAAATGAGATTTCACAAAATGAAACTGCGTTCATCTGCAAGTGTCGCTGTGAAGTGACTAGGCCTCTGCATTTACCGTATAGCACAGACCATCTGAAAACTTCTGTCTTCCTTTTAGGCGCTGTCTCTTTGAAGAACCCAAGTGGGCTGCCTCTGGACCATGACAGCAAACATCCTATGAGCAGCTTTTTCAGAAATATATTCAGTTATTTGGCTACGGCACTGTGAATGGTATTGGTCTCTGACGCTTGCCTCGCTCAAGCACTCAACATGGAGCCATTGTTACCCAGAGGAAAGTGCCTCACAGACTTCAAAAGACTCTTTTTGCTATCACTAGTGTTAGTATATCTGATAGCTTTGGTTTCTCCTGATCAAGACTACTATGGTTTACTCGGAATATCCAAAGAAGCAACAAGTAGAGAAATAAGGCAGGCTTTCAAAAAATTAGCGTTGAAGTTGCATCCTGATAAGAATCAGGTAGGTTGCCTGGTCATGGAAAGGCTTTTTTCAACTAGCCAAGAACATTTCAAGACTGAAATGTGTTGAGTTGCAATGTTTGTTTGTTTGGTAAGTGAACGCTAGGAAGTTTTTCTCTCTTGCAGAATGATCCGGAGGCCCACGAAAACTTCCTGAAAATAAACAGAGCGTATGAAGTGCTGAAAGACGAAGATCTGCGAAAGAAATATGACAAATACGGCGAGAAAGGTCTGGACGACCAGCAGCAAGGAGGCAGATATGAGAGTTGGCACTACTATCGCTACGATTTTGGTAAGATAACACGCATGTGAGTGAGGCGCAATTGTTTTGTGCTGTTCTCCCTGCCCGGAATTAGTGTAGCCTTGAAAGTACACGGTAGCCAGGCTGGCACACAGTTAAAAGAGCCAACGAGGACTTAACTGTGTTGGCCTGTGGCCGCTGCAAGGAGGTACACAGTGTGTCCTTGGCTTTCTTAATTAGTCTGATTCTTAGGGACAGGACAGCCTTTATTCCATTCTTTTGCTAAGTGCCCTTTAGAGTTGGTTCTTGTTCCTACGCCTTAACAAGACTCAACCAACACCTTTTTTACTCAGCAGCTTCTCAGAGCAGAAAACTGTAACTAGTTCTCCTCCCACTTGCTTAAAATTGGTTTTTAATGTTTTGAAGCTGTCATGGCTAGTCAGCTGGCAACCCGTGGGCACTAGCCAGCCTGCAGGATTAGGGTACAGTGGAACCTTGGGTTACATACGCTTCAGGTTACATACGCTTCAGGTTACAGACTCCCCTAACCCAGAAATAGTTCCTCGGGTTAAGAACTTTGCTTCAAGATGAGAACAGAAATCACGCCACGGCAGCAGCAGGAGGCCCCATTAGTTAAAGTGGTGCTTCAGGTTAAGAATAGTTTCAGGTTAAGAACGGACCTCCGGAACGAATTAAGTACGTAACCAGGGTACCACTGTATTAATATTTTATTGGTTTCAAATATAAAGAAATAAAGTGATGCAAAGGGGGGGGAGAGCAGAAAAAGGCCCAAAAATGTGTAGAAAGAAGCAATCTATGAATATATGAAAATATATGAAAAATACCCTAACTCATACATTCTTATATAAATTTGATGTTATTATCCTGAAGTGGTTTTCAATCAGTGTGCCGTTGCATTCTGGGGTGTGTTGAATGATATTCAGGGGTGCCACGGGCAACAGTGGTCTCTGTCCCTCTTTCCTTCCCTCCCTTCCTCTGATGCCCTCTCACGTCTCTGCCTCCCAAAGGCTTGCACAGCTGTTGGTTGCAGCAGCCCTGGCTACAAGCTCCCCAGGGAAATGGTGCCACTGGGGCTGGCCAGGGGGTGCTTCCCTGACCCTCTGTGGCAATGTGAGGAGGCACCTCTCTTTGGGGCAGGGGGTGCAGCTCAGAGACCGGGGGGGCAGATGCGGCTGCCCAGAGGACTCCCAAGGAGAGGGAAGAAGAGAGGAGGCTGAGGGCACCCTCCACAAGGTAGGGGTGAGGGGCTGCCACCTCTGCAGGCAAGGGGTGACATAACTAGGCTCCTGAGCCCCACAGGGGTGCCACAGAAAGAGTGTAGTTGGTCAAGGGAGCCGTGGAGCCAAAAAGGTTGAAAACCTCTGTCCTAACACATATGGAAATATTAATGGTCGTCTACATTTTGTATAAACTCATTTCAAATATTGTCATATTTATCCAAACAAAGTCTATATCTGTAAGCAGTCCGTTCATAAGCTGCAAGTGTTATCATGTAGTCAATCCATTTATTAAAGGGGACCATACCTTTATTCTTCCAGTTCATCAATATCAGTCTCTTGGCTACCATTAGAGCGCATAGAATCCATTTTCGTTGTCCCGTTGTTAACTCCCATACAATAGGTATATCGTTCAGAAGAATGTTCTCTGCTGAAAATTTTAGCTTTTTCTGGACAGTCATAATTATACAATCCCACACTTTCTCCCCAAAATTAGTAAATATAGTCTTGCAGCCACCTCACGTGGCTTCAAGAAAAATGAATTTAGCTGAATCAATTGCTGAGCAGTTGTGACCAGAATAAGAGGGTCTTATTCTGAATACTGCACCTTTTTGTATAGTTTTATGCTGTGAAAGCCCCTTCACTCGCCAGCACGAAATTCCTTCTCACCATTTGCTATCTGGTGCAATCCAAGTTTATGTACAATGACGTAGCAAATGCCATTTTATTATTCAAATGCCCTTCTTGTTGTTTTTGAATGCTTATGGGTTGTTTCTTTGCCAGGTATTTATGATGATGATCCTGAAATTATAACGCTGGACAGAGGAGAATTTGGTAAGTCATGATGTTCACGTGGTTTCCAGGCACTTTTTAATTTATTCAGAGTGCATAATTGCACCGCCTCATCCTTTCCTGGGAGAAAACGTTACATGGATTGCAAAATGTCAACCAGAGTGACTATGAGAGCTTGGTGTTCAAAGGCACCGTTTATATTTCTTCCCTGTGAGTCATTTGTCTGTAGAAACTTTACAGCACTCATTGCCTCAGTCTCTGTGGAAAGCGAGCAACACCTTGACGAAAAGGGGAAATTATTCCTGCTTTTTTTCTGAAGTTCCGCTCTGCCGTCTTTACAGAAATTTCCTTTAAGTAAGATTAGTGGTCCAAACGAAGCACTTGAGTTATTTCCACTTACCAATTGGTCTGCTTTTCTTACTTAAGATATATTTTGAATAGGTTTTCTCAGTGGAGACCACTTTACTAATTTGGGGTTGGGGGTTAACTGTATCATGATCCTACATTTGGTTGTTGTTTTTTTAAAGAGACAAATCGGACTTTGCTAACTTAGTTCTGCTCCTCAGGAAACAACTCACAGATAACTAAACATCGGTTAGTTGTTTGCATTCCCTGTTCGTGTTTGACCAGGGTTATTTGCAGAATTGAATGTGTTTGCCTAGCATGATAACAACACGCTTGTGCACACAGTGAGAGTTTCCCCACCCCTGGTATTTGAGCAGTTGACAGATTTTATGCTTTTTACATTCTCTGTATTTCACGGTGATCCAGCATCTGATCTGGCCTAAGTGATAATGTTGAAACCAAATAGGCCCTTTTTTATAAATAACAATAGTAGTGGCAATTTTTTTGCTAAAAGCGGCTTTTGACTGGTATTCCATTCCTTCGTTCATTCAGTTATTATTATTTTGCCCTGCCCTTTCTCCAAGGAATCCTGGCAGCCCAGTTTCACCCTTTCCTTACAGCAGCCTACACCACTCTAGCTCGTTGCACTAAAACAGGGATGAGGAGCCTTTTAAGGGCCATATTCTCTCAGGGGAAAGAAGTTGGGGGCCGCATACCAGTGGTGGTCAGGGCCCAACCCAAAAAGGGAGTGTGGCCCAAGCCAAAAGTGGGTGGCGGTTCCCCTTTTTCTATCCGTCCAACCAACCATTCTCTCTCTCACACACACCGCCTTCCCAGCCTGTCTCTCTCTGGGACCTCCAGACTGAACTTACCCCAACCTCTCTCCTCATCCATTCATCTGCCATTCATACTCTCTCCCCTCTCTCACACACACACCCCTCCGCCAGCCTCAGCAGCTTTCCTCTTGGCAGTGGAAGGGGTGAAGGAATTCAGCAGCATGGGGTCATTTGAGGTGGGCTTAGGGGGTGAAATGTACGGGTTCGTTGACAATATCAATGCTGCTTCTTTTTCCCCTTCCTTACCTCTGTTTGTCTCTGCCACAAACAGACCATGCTATGCATTTGGTGAAATGGATTTTAAGGCACAAGTACATGCACACTCAAAAGATGGGTTAAATTGGCACGGTTATATGTGGCGGAAATGTTCCTTCGTTGCCGGGCAACTGGAAACTGAGTACGGCAGTCATTTCCCTGTGCATGACTTACTCAGCTCTCTGCGGTTTTAAGGACCAGGATTCCTCACACTCCCAAGTTCCCCTCTGCAGAGGCAGTTTTGTTAAGCCCCTTTTAGGGGTAGGGAGAGGAGCCCTCCCTTTGAAATGTTGGATGCTCTTGCCTTTTTTTTGAGATGCTCTCTTCAGGCAGAGTTTTCCGCCAGCATTCATGTTACATAAAAACACATCAAAAGTCTGGGTTTACAAGTAGCTTCCTCAAGGGGTGCCCAAATGATGCCCATGTGTGTCCCATTGTGTCCACCACAACCTGCTCTTGCACCTATGAATGGTATCAGGGACTTGCCCCTCAAAAATTAGTGAGAGACTCTTGGCTCTTTCTTCTCAGTTCCTGTTTGCACTGGCTTGGCCCCTGCTGCATGCCTCCATGGCAGCCATTTTACATTATGCTACAGCCCCACAGCAGCCATTTTGTGACTGTCACACAAAACGTATTGTAATGGAGGAAATATGATTTAAGATTATGCTTAATGATTTATATGAATTAATAAAGAAAGATTAATTTCATTTGATTAATTGGGAAAATAGGTAAACATCTGGACAGGAATTGATGGAAATGGGAATGGATGGGAAAGTATTAGAAATTAAGAAAAAATATTTTTCTGTAAGCAGCGAAGGAGGGAGGGGCAAGAAGCACTTTGAAGGGGGGTGGAAAGTCAATTTAAAAAATTGTGTTAAATTGGAATTAATTTGTCGTTAATTTGTTTTTTTTTAAATGGAAAACTAATGAAAATTATTGGGCAGAATTTTGACCCTTTTAAATATTGTTGTTCTAGATGCTGCTGTTACTTCGGGAGAATTGTGGTTTATCAATTTCTATTCCCCTCGATGCTCCCATTGCCATGATTTAGCACCGACGGTAGGTATAGGTCAGCCCATGCATGCTGCTTTTGAATGCATACCCTGGTTTCCTTGGGCAGAGACCTTCGTGGGGAAAGGGGAAGACTCTTACCACGGCATGAGAGTTGAAGGGTATGCGAGAGCTGTATTATTTTCTTGCCATTGACCAATCTGTGGCTCTATCACTAATGGTTGCAGCCTGGTCTCCCATTCTGTGCAAGCATAGACACATCTTCACATTTTGGCAAGACTACAGGACATTGGCATCCACATTGGCCATCCTTAGGGTCATCGGAACCTGCCTTGTACTCAACCAAACCATGGGTCTGTCTACCTTAGTATTGTCTACATTGACTGGTAGAGGCTCTCCAGGGTTTCAGACAAGGGACAGGATTCCCAGTCCTACCTGGAGATGTTGGGGATTGAGTCTGGGGCCTTCTGCATGCAAAGCAGATGTTTCTACCACTGAGCTACAGCCCTTTTCAACAAGCTCTGCAAGGAGTTGAACCAGAGGTTCCCCACCGACATGGAAAACATGTGGGTAGAAAGAATGAGATCCTACAGGGATAATCAGAATGGTGGGCAGATTGGCATTGACCTTCAACTTGGGTTGGGTTCTTAACTGTTGTGATAGAATTATATGCATGCTGGTAAACAAGCATTTTAAAATTCTCTTGGGAGCATTTCAAAAACGAATCACGTTTTTTGGTAGAAAAAAATAACCTAGGCTCTCGCTTTCTTCCCCCCACCCCCCAAATCAACTTGGAAGTGGAGAGAATTTGCTAAAGAAATGGATGGATTAATACGTATCGGAGCCGTCAACTGTGGCGATAACAGGATGCTTTGCCGGAATAAAGGAATCAATAGCTACCCAAGCCTGTATGTGTTTAAAACTGGAATGGTAAGCAAGCAAATATTTGTACTCCTCCAGCACCCATCCTGGGCAGGTATAGGAGTCCTGGTCCAGTGAGGATTTTTTTTTTTTTTTTGAAAACCCCAACTTATTTCAGATTTAGGGACAGCCACCCATGAGGCCAAATGTAGTAAGTTCTAATAGGACGACCCTAGAAAGCAACGTTGCCCAGAGAAAATGTTAGCACCAAAAACCTGGACAGGAATGGCTCTAGGGCAGTATGCTTTCTGAATCCTTTTAATAATTATGGTGTTTTTGTGGCGGGGGGGGGGCAGGGATGCTTTGTAGATATTACATACATTTTTACACCCAAGAGCTAAGGTCAGATTCCCAGATTTTCAAAGTATAACATGAAGGACATTGGGACTCTGGTTGGTTGGTTGGTTGATTGGTTGGCTGGATGAATGGATGCATGATGTAATTCAGTGTTTTAAGTATTGGCTAATACATAAATTGCATTATTGGTTTAAAATGAGATGTGTTTCTCTTGCAGAACCCAGTGAAATATTTTGGAGACAGGTCCAAGGAGAGCTTAATGAGTTTTGCCATGCAGTTTGTCACAAGCACAGTGACAGAATTATGGGCAGGTAAGCTGCTGCTTTAATGACAAATTATTTTTAATTTTGCGCATATTTCAAACCCTGTAATGCCAATAGCGGGCAACAGATAAGTTAACCTAAACCTCTCTCAATCAGATCTTAAGAAAAGTGTAGAAAGGATCAATGTCGTGCAACAAGTAGTTAATGCTAAGTAAAGTTTTTGAATGAATGAAAACAGGTGCATATCCCCTAAATGGCTGAGGCAATCCAGCCAGATGGGCGGGGTATAAAAAATTGAATTAAAATATGGAATTATTTGTTTTCTGTTTTTCAGGAAATTTTGTCAGTGCTGTTCAAACTGCATTTGCTTCTGGCGTTGGCTGGTTAATAACTTTTTGTGCTGAGCAAGGAGGTGAATATATACATGTGTACTTTTTTCAACTATTAATACCTAAATTTATGCATGGTTGCTAGCCTGCTGTGCCCCATTTCCTACTGAGATTGTTAAAACACATCCTCTTTTCTCTATGCTAGTTGATAGAGCTTATCTTTCAGAAGCATAGATATGTTCCTGGCTGCCTCTGGAGGTTCCCTCAGTCTCATCAGGACCTGCCCTACCATTAGGCAGACTCGAGCAAGCAGCAGATGTTGCAAGGCAGGGGTAGCAACAAAGTGTTGGGGAGGGAGGTGTCTATGCCTTACAGCTCACCTATCTTGGTGCCCTCAGGCGCCATGCAGGATGCTTCCCCTTTGTCAGGCTCAAAGTGAGAGCCATCTGTCAGTCTGGTTGGCTGGTGTAATTAGGGAGCTGCCATTTTGTCATTTGCTTCAGACAGCAAAATGTATTCAACGGGCTCTGAAGTTTGTTTTTTAAGCAAATGCCTGTGCCGTTTTCAGACTTCCAGTGCAAAATTCTACTCTGCCCCTCTCTGCAGATGTGAAGGGGAAATGAAACTCCCCTAACGGGTAGAGGTGTGTGTGTTGATGTCTTAAGAGGTAAAGTTCATGTTCCTCGTTTCAAGAGAGAGACAGAGGAAGTGACATACAAATACAGTGGTACCTCGGGTTACAGATGCTTCATGTTACAGACTCCGCTAACCCAGAAATAGTACCTCAGGTTAAGAACTTTGTTTCAGGATGAGAACAGAAATCGCGTGGCGGCAGCTGGAGGCCCCATTAGCTAAAGTGGTACCTCAGGTTAAGAACAGTTTCAGGTTAAGAACGGACCTCAAGAACGAATTAAGTTCTTAACCTGAGGTGCCACTGTACTCTCCAGATTTTTCTGGGTTAGATCCAGACTTTGCCCTCTGCAAACAGAAGGTTATTTTTTCCATCTACAGATGGCATTTGATTCTCCCTAATGGAAAAGAAGGCAGCTTTTTCCAATTCTCTCACAGCCTCCAGTCCCCAAACTCTCCAGTGCAGATTTTTGGAGAGTGGGGGGGGGGGGAGAGATCAGCAAAACTCTCCCGGGGAGTGGGGGCGGAACTCTGCACCTAAGGCAGCTTCTCTGTGACTGCATGTGCCAAATTCAACCTCTTTATAGAATCACAGTATTGTAAAGCTGGAAGAGACCGTGAGAGTCATCTAGTCCATTCCCCTGCAATGCAGGAACCTGCTGCCCAACATGGGGCTCAAACCCACAACCTTGAGATTAAGAGTCTCATTCTCTACCGACTGAGCTATCCCAGCTTTGCCCTTAAGTAAAAAGTCTTTGGAAGCACCAGAGTTGTTGTTTTTTACCAAAAGCCTCTATTTGTGCATAGTTGCATATACGTAGATAAACATGAACCTGATGAAAAATCTTGTTTCTCAGACATCTATTATTGTTATTTTCTAGATTGTCTGACTTCCCGAACACGCCTTAAACTGGCTGGCATGTTGGTAAGCGGCGTTAGATTTCAAGAATTCTCAAATGGCGCGCGTGAGTCGGGCGACGTTCAATGCTGCTGAGTCTCATTGACTTCCAGTGGAGAGGCATAATAATTATTCCACCAAATGTTGAAAATGCTTAACATTGGAACATGCCTGTTTTTTGTTTTACTTAGGGTGGGATTCACAAAACAGAAAATGCAAAGCGTGAACTGAATGGTGGGATGTGTGTTGTTCTTTGATGCCCTCTGGGTGCCTGTGCAAAGAAAGCTAACCTGCCTCCATCTATCTGATCTCGTGTTGTCTCGCTTGTCTTGCTACAGGAAGGCCTTGTTAATGTAGGCTGGATGGACTGTGCCACCCAGGGTGAGCTTTGTGATAATTTGGATATCTCAACTAGCACTACCGCATTCTTTCCGCCCGGAGCCACTTTAACTAATAAAGAGAGAGGAGGTGTTTTGGTATGAGTCGCTTTACGATTGGTTTGCATATCTGTGTGGTGAGGTGGCGGCGGTGGTGAAGGGAAAAGTGTCGCGCCCCCCCCCAAAAAAAGAAGTTGATTTATATTTTAATTCCTCATATGTTGCTGGCCCCCAGAAGAGAAATTGAATTATGTGTCTTAGAAAACATCCACGCTTTATCTGTATCTCTAGATGCTTAATTGTACTTTCTCTTTGTTCTCTTATCACCGAAACATTTTGATGCTGTCCTGAAAGCACCAGAATTCACCCTACACACCTGCATGCTTACACGTTTATACTTAATATAGACAGCTGCTGATACTGGACAGGGCAGTTTGTTCATTTATTTCCTTAATTTATGTGCCACCTTCTTCCTTCGTGGAACCCAAGCTGGTTCCCAGGAGGCCACCCATCCAGGCACCGACTCCAGTGGTTCTCAACCTGTGGGTCCCTAGATGTTGTTGGACTACAACTCCCATCATCCCTGAGCTCTGGCCTTGCTAGCTAGGGGTGATGGGAGTTGTAGTTCAACAACATCTGGGGACCCACAGGTTGAGAAAGGCTGGACTAGACCCAGACCTGCTTGGTTTCAGAAAAGTCATGGCCTTGTGTGTCTTCAGAGCATCCCCTGAGCCATAGCTATCTGCCATATAGAGCACCAGCTAAGGTTACTGCTGTTGGCTGCAATACAAGTTGTATTGGTGTCTCTTGTTATAAGGCAAGACTCCTTTTCTTGTGCGGGAGTGTGCTGTGATCTTGATTGGTACATGAAACCGGGCTTCTTTTCATGCTTGTATTTTTATTTAAAATGAACCTAAAAAAGGAAGGGCAAGCCAATTCTGTAATCCGATCGGAACCAGTCAGAATTAAGCGAACAACCACTTGGTTCCTTACCGGGAAAGAATATTACATGATGTGCTTATAAGCATGCTTTGTTAAATATTCCAAACATCCCAAAGAAAACTGAGGAAGCAGTATATTTCAGGGTTAGGTGCAAACTCCATCATAAATTAATGTGCTTCGAGGGTAGTAGACCTGTTACAAACACTAGGTGTAGTTTCTGCAGTGGTACATTTTCAGGACTGTTGGTATGGTGCTTTGGAGTTTAAGATACTTGGAGGCTCACAGCCATAGAGTAAGTCTTGTTCTGCCTTTGGGTTCAAAGTTGGCCAACTCCAGGCTGTGACACAAGACTGCTCCAGGTCACCAAAAGGAGCTCTGAATAAGCAAGAAGGCTCTGAATAACCCAAGCGAATGGGAAAAGACACCTTCCTCTTCTGGGAGCCAGCCACAGGCATCTTCTAGGGGAGATCTTGAGCGGTGCCGGTTGTTCTGCCTGTCTAGTACTGAAACCTTTTGAAGGTGCAGATGAGGAGGAACATGTAGCTGGCAGCAGTTCTGCTGTTTCTAGACTTCCCTCCTACCCAGGGTCATTTCAGGCAGCGCACGAGATGCTTTGAAGGATAGGAGAGTGACGGAAATAGACTGGGCTCGATGAGGATATAATCCTTCTGCTCCTTGTCTGTGCACTCCTTCCGTCTTTTTAAGCCGTCCTCCAAAGCCATCCACGGTAGCCCAGAGATAAGCTTCTGGAATTCTGTTATTGATTTCATTTATTGATCACTTCCGCGTGAAGCACCCCAAAGTGATGTACAATATAACGGCATATATGAAGCAGTTTATATACAGCTAAAACAACTGCACAGATAAAACATTCCTTTGAAAAACAATCAGAAATAGAGAAACAGTTTAGAGCAGCAAACAGTGCCTACATGAATGGAATCAGTTCAAATCCCAGTTCCAATTGGGGGAAAGATTTCAGAAGGCTTGTGGAAAGAGGAATCTCTTTCGCAGGCACCAAAAAGACGACAGCGAAAACGCTTGTTTGATGTGCAGTGGGAGGGAGTTCCAAAGGGTAGGTGCCACTACACTAAAGGCCTGATTCTAACATCAGGCAAAACAGAGCTCCTGGTAGGATGGTTTATGCAGGATTCCCTCTCCTGCAGAATGCGCTGATCCGTTGGGTATGTAGGGGATAAAGCAGTGTATTATAAATATAACGCAAGAAAGGATAAAACTCACGTGGAGATTTCCCTGTCTCTCTAGTTCCTGAACACTTTGGACGCAAGAGAGATATATTTGGAAGTCATGCAGCACCTTCCAGATTTTCAAATGATCTCAGCATCTTCATTACAGGTAAAGAGTGTTCTCATATTGACTGCATTTGGGTGTCATGCTGAACCTTGGCTCAGAACAGGAGAAGGGAAACCATAGTCCTCCAAATACAGCTGCAAGAGACTGGTAACTCGCAACTGCTGCCTCCCACGTTGTTTTTGCTGCATTAGCAGCAACAAAGTGACTTCTCTGGGGCATAGGCGTGGGCAGTGGGTGTGGAGGTGCTGGGCTGTCCAGATTACAAGACACACACACACACACACACACACACACCTTGGCCTCACTGATGTCACACACACACACACACCTTGGCCTCACTGATGTCACAGCAATACGTTTGGCACCAGCTTGGCTGCGGGAGCTACCAGAGGGAAGTGTGCAAGGTGCCATCCAACCATATTAGGGACTCCACTCTGGATTTGTGTAAAGTTTACTCCTCAGCCTCTTCTTCTGCCAAAGATGTCCCACAAGGCACAGTGTTTCTGTGTGTGTATGTATGTGTATACATATATATTATATTTTAGTTTCTGATTTCACCACAATCTTGCCATGAGTATCTTCTGGGATATAACACAGAGTTCTTTAGCAAAACATCAATGTTGTTTTGCGCCATCCCAAGTACAGTCGTACGCCTTGCGAGATGAAAGTTTTGGCTCCCAAACGCTGCAAACCCAGAAGTGATTGTCCCGGTTTGCAAACATTCTTTGGAACCCAAACGTCCATTGCGCCTTCCACAGCTTCTGATTGGCTGCAGGAGCTTCCTGCAGCCAATCGGAAGCCATGGCTTGGTTCCTGGACATTTTGGAAGTCTGTTTGACTTCCGGAACGGATTCCGTTCGACTTCTGAGGTACAGCTGTATTCTGAAGTTCAGCAACTTGAATTGGGGCAAAATGAAATAATCCAGTTGATCCCTCTCTCTTTTCTTGCTTGGTTTTGACCAAAATCTGCAGTTCTATAGAGCTGTGAGCAAGCCAGTTTCTTATTCTTCTAACAGATGGATAGATTTGTCTTTACCTCTTAATTTCTTTTTCTCCTCCCTTTTTAAGGATCACCTTGCCCATCACCGATGGCTGATCTTCTTTCAGTTTGGGGAGACTGGCAAGTCAGATGACCATGACCTTAAAAAACTAAGTTACCTCCTTAAAGCAGAAAATATTCAGGTGAGATAATGAGAACCTGTGAAATTGATGGACATGGGTGGGGTGGAGCTGGGGACTTGCCTCAAAAGAATATTATTAGGCTCAATATCTGCACCCCCCCAACCTTCAGAGCTATGTAGTCTCCTGTCACTTGAGACCTCATCCTTCTGGCTAGGCCATTGTTGAGACACTTGTGGCATTACAGATGTTGGAATGCAGATGTTGGAATACAACAGTGCTGGCTGGTGCTGATGGGAGTCGAGTCCAGCAACCTCTGGAGGGCCACAAGTATCACATCACTGACCTAACCCACGTTGCTAGATTTTTGTTTCAATGGGGAAAAATAGACAGACTTAATAGCCTTCATGAACCCCTTAAATGCATTGCGAGAAGTGTGTATTTGTGATATTTAATGGATAAATTATCCTAGGGTCGTAACAAACAATTGGCTTTTCATTTCACAGGTTGGCAAGTTTGACTGCCTTTCTGCCCCAAACGTTTGTAATGATTTGTACGTTTATCAGCCGTGTGTCGTAGTCTTTAAAGGAAGGGGAATAAACGACTATGAAATTCACCATGGTAAGCGACTCTTGCGTAGAAAAGTTACAGGTTGTAACAATCTTCTGGTGCCTGTAAATGCATCTTCCTTAGAGAGTTGCTGCAAGTTTCAAACATCTGCATCTAAGTCGCACACACACACATGAAAAGCAGCGCCAAGTGGCTGTGTCAGCAGAGGAATGGGAGCGGGAGGGCTGACCCCCCCCCCAGTCATTTTTAAACCCCCAAGCACTCCTTCTTCCCAACCCTTCCCCCCCCCCCCCCGCACCAAAACAGCTTGGAAAGTGACATTTTGAGGCAGAGAAACCACTCAAAATCCTAGCTTCCCAAGGCTCCCTTTATTTTATTTATTTTATTTTAGGAATGGAAAGTTTGTTACACACATCCCCATGTAATGTCTGCCCCTTAGATACGCTTTTAGTCTGAAGGGTGCTTGCTTACACAGTGGAACCTCAGTTCCCGAACGCCTCCATTATTGTACTGTTC